GGGTGAACCGCTTGTTCTTCACAGGCTTGATGATGGGCTCTGGAGTGGAGAGAAATCTAAATTATTTGCGTGCTTACTTTGATATCATATGATTTACTGCCATCCACAACCATTATACATTTGTGAAAGCATGTTAATGAACTAACTAAAAACTATGCACATTATTGTAAATAAAGCAAAAACAAACATCACTGCACTTTGTATCTAACCTGTGAGAGGCTGTGTGTCTTCCTCTTGGACAATGGTTTCCACTTCGGGCCCATAAACCTCCTCTGCCGTAGGATAGTACTTCTTGTCTTCATGCAGGACCACCTCCATACCCGGGACATCTTCATCAGCATCAGCGGGCTCATCATCATCATCTTCATCAGCCTGTACAAAGAAAGTTATTACCATGACATAGAAACTGGATAAAGATACCAAGAGTACTAACTAGTCATACATGTTAACAGTGGCTTTAAAGTGTACCTCATCAACATCTCTGTCCTCTGCATTTAGATCATCTTCATCATCGTCAGAGTCCAGCTCTGGACCGATGTAGTTTCCAAACTCATCATACAGATCAGCCTCCATCTTTTAGAGAACTGAAAGTGGGGTCATATCAGCATATTTGTGATTTTTTTGTATTATTGTCAAGGTCAAAAAATGAATGAAATCAGGATAACATGTTTTAAAATTAAATGTGCACTGATGTTACTTTTTGAGCTGAGTATTTTTTTATGTGGACTTTCTTCAAATGTTGGTGATGTGTTTTAAAACGTCAGCAATGGTTTTGTTCAGTTTTTGTGCTAAATGTCTTGTACTACAATACCACAATGTGTTCTCTTTGTCTTCTAACTTCTTAGGACCATATTGGAAATATTACATTTTAAAATAAGCAGGAAAATCATTTGAACCTTTGTTTTTGCATCTGATAAAACATAAATACATGTTTTAAAAAAAAAATCAACCCAATACGAAAAGACATTGCCACAACATTTCAGACGTAAAATAAATATACATTTACTTAATTCATTATGGTCTTTCTACCTTTCTCCAAGTAGAAGGTAGTTGAGAGCGGATAGTAATGGATGCAACTGGGATTATTTACCATTAATTGTGTTTAGATCAACACATTCTATTGTATTATGAGATTCATAGAAGTGTTTAATTAACTCTTTCATTGTTTTTTAGAACCAATGAGAACAGCTAGTAACGTTAGGTAAGTTACCACGAACGCAAATGCTAACTTTGCACCTAGCACAGCATGCACTACCAAAATTGAGGTATATTTTCAATCTTTTAGATGCTTTTCGTCGACAAAAACTCCTACAAAAATTAGCTGCAGGTAAGAAAAAATGTCGACCCCTATAAACTGTTGGTCTTCTCATGTTGTTATAAGCCAACAAAACTAGCCTGCTAGCCCGCTAACAAGTAAAGAAATGAATGACTTGGAGGCGACGTTTCAGTTACGTCGTTGTTTAGCTAACGTTAGCTTACAGGGCTAATTTAGAACTTGTTTGTAACAAAATCGACTTACCTATATTCTCTTATAATGCAGTCACCAAAAAATATTTTCAAACGATTTAAAAGTTGGGTCTGTATTTCAGAAGATAAATAATTTCCTAAATAGCGCCATGCGTACGAGACACCACTTCCGGTTTTCTTCTTCTGTTGATCCGAGGGCGCCAGGTTGTGAGTGTTCAACGGATCACTCACTACCGCCGCCATTGGTGGAGATTTTAGACGCTGGAAAGTAACTGAATCGAGTCTTTGAAGCACAATTCCAACTTGATTTGCCTTACTAAAACTCCCATAGTACGATACAATTGCTGGAACTCCAGATCCTTATCAAAATCGTAAGACAGGTCAATTCAACACTTTTGTCAAATGTAAAAGTTTTATTTTGAATTCCTTCCCCGGAAGTGGTAGCATGTTATAATGTCTGCCTTGACGTGTTTACAATGTGCAGCATCTAGCGCCCTCCAGTGGTTACGGTGCACAACTACAGTTTAGTTTGTTAAACTTTTTTGACAAGGGTCCCCCCTTATATAAAATGTAAATTCTTTGATAAGGGTCAACCCTATTATAAAAATGTTTTATTTTGCTAATGCCGGATCCTCCCTTATATCAAAAATTAGTTTTGTGATAAGGGTCCCCCTTATATAAATTATACTCTTTTGATAAGGGTCCCCCCCCATACACCTTTAAGATAAAGAGCACACAGTATTAACTCAGTTAACCTTCCTGTGCAGCAATCATGCTACCTGCTGGTTAAACTACTGAATCACAACTGTAAATAATATTAAAGATGAGTGCATACCAGTGTCATGAGTTATACGTGAGTCACTGCTGCTTAAACACGTGACCCTATAAGACCACACATATGTTACATTGGACACATAAGGACAGTTAACCCTCCTGTTGTGTTCGTTTCCCCCTCCCCCTTACTTTGGTGTTCCCGGTCAAATTTGACCGGTCCTGTTTTAAATGCTCTTACATTAACAAAAAAAACATGAATCATCACCAAATATTATTTAACACCCTTTCAAACTGTAAACAATGTATCAGACTACTATACATGAAAAACTGCAGTAAATATACGAAGAATACACACTGAACATGTATGTTTTTGTGTTTTTGTGATGTTATTAACATTTATTTAAAAAGAAAAAGCTTTCAAAACAGAGACCAAATTCAAAGACGATCAGAACATCAACATGAATAGTCGTCTGTGTGTCTGTGTGTCTGGCAGGTGTGGTTCTGGGGGAAGGGCACATAAGAGCGGGAAAAATCACCTCCCGGACTCTGCATCCCACAGACTTTGTGTAGGCCTATTGTTGGATGGATACTCCTGCCAGAATCAAAAGACCTACAGTATGTATGCTTAAGGTGAAATATGACATATGCATACATATTCCTTTGTTGGCTAAACCCTAACTCCATAGGCATTTCACAAAGATTCAGTCAAGATTTGATTTCCTTTACACACTAAACTAAAATAGTTATGGAAAATATATGATGTGAAGTTAATGCTTATTATTTGCACCATCATAGTGTGTGTTAATGCCGTTTATGTTCATTTGCAGATAGTAAATAATATATCCCTCACCTGTTGCCAATTAGCACCAGTTTTTATTTTGTCATACAAAATAATGGATATCATTGTTCAGCTGTTCCTTTATGATTTTTACATTTAGTTTACTCTATTAATGGTATTTTCTAGTATTGTCTTGGCAGCCACTGCGATGACTTACATGATCACTGAGAATTCTCCACTTGATATTTTGGGCATTTGGGTTTTCTTTTCCAATAACCATGGAGATAACAGTGATTTTCTTCCAAACCAATTGCAAATATTTCACATTTCATCTCCTCAATGGTTGGATAATTTGTCATTTGGGAAATCCTGCAGTTATCCTCCAAATTAGAGGTTTCTCATAGATGTGTATTATTTTTGCATTAAGTTACATTTCCATTTTAGCGTCACATTAGTATTTACTATTGTATTGATATTATTGATAACATTTTCCGACTTCCACCAAGAGTATTTCACTTTGCATTTAACTGCGCATTAGGCATAGATGCCATGAATATGCAGCTCTGGAAAAAATGTCTCTGTGTATGTAATTCATTTAACAGACACTGGAATGGAATGGCTGCCATACATGTAGAGATTGAGATTAAAGAAACATTTGGAGCGGTCTCTTAATTTCCCCAGAGCTGTAGCCTATATTGGAATCTTTACACTGTGCATTAAATACATGCATCGACTCCGGTTGATGAGGCAGAACACTTTGCATCATGTTGTTTTCCCCTCCGGTGAGCGCTTTCACAATAAAACGTTTAACATTACCGGAGGCTGTAGTTACACCGTGTGACCACAGGAGGGCAATGAATATGCAAAGATGATAAGCTTGCAGCGGTGTCAAACTCAGTGGGCCAAAATAAAAAAAATGGGTACTGGTCGAGGGCCGGACTGGTTCAATGTTGATAGCAAAACTTATTGAAATGAACGTATTGCACATATTAAACCTGGAACTAACAAAGCTTACATTATTGCCTATAAAAACAACTCTTATGATTACATTTTTCCACAGGCCAACAACAGCTTAAAAAAAACTATTTCCCTCAAAGAAAAAACCAAACATGCCCTGTTGTCGCAAGAAAAAAAGTGCAGAAGGAAACATCCATTGAAACTCAATTTGCTGCTCTGTGATGCTAGTTCAAGCAGATACTTGGCATCTCATCTTGGGTGCAAGTTCATCAATATTTGGGGTCAGGCTCTGAGCTGAGGAAATCCTCAGGATTGAGTGAAGGTGTGCGTGCAATATACCGGCGGGCCAGATCGAATAGTAATTAAAAATTATCCTGCGGGCCGAAATTAAATCCACCAAGGGCCTGATTTGGCCCCCGGGCCTTGAGTTTGACACATGTGAGCTAGAGGCTACAGTACAGTGTTTTATCAGATGAAGTCCTATTAACTTGTATAATCAATTTAATGGGCATTTAAATGAATAGACTTTGAATGAGTCTTATACATTGCCTCTTACCTGCCAGATAACAGTTTAATTGAAATAATGTATAGAAATATGTATGATTTATGAATATTGAAATACTTGGTAATGTATACATATAATATTCTTTAAAAACAGGCATATATTATTTTAGAAGCAGAAACTTAATTAGAATTAAGAAAAAGACACTTAACCCTCATAAAGCTATTTAACTCCAATAAGGGTTAAACGAATGAGGCAATAGAAGGCCTTTAGCCTTGATTTAATAAGTTTGCTATTATGGTCTTGTTTATAAGACTATAAACCTCTAGTAACTTGTGCATAATGTATAGTTGTTGTGTGCATGATTGGTATAGCAAGAATGTACCTTGCCTAAAATGTCAAAGGAAAGCATAAAAAAAAGTACTGATGTTCAAATGTAAAATATGGCTTTTCTATGGTATATAGACTATATGAATTATTCCACATTGATGTCGATGAGGTTGATGATAAATTCAGACAGGGTTTCAGTTGATGGCTTTATTCCTGCTGGTGTAATTTCTTTCTCAGTAGGCCTGACCTACACAGTTAACACAAAACAGACATAAACAAGTAAGACAAACAACGACATACATGTCTACATTAGACAACTCTGAGAATCATGTTGACAGAAAATATTGTTTGGTCATCATGTAGATCTCATATAATGCCCATCAGATGGCACGCTACTCAAATGTTATATATTGAGACATAATTTCAAATTCAAAGAAATGCAGATTAGAAAATACAATAGATATAAAGAGCAACCCGTCACTTAAAATAACCATAACATTTTAATATTGCTTTTGAAAAGGTAGCACACTAGTTAAAAGCACCATGTCTCATTAAATTAAAGTAGCCTATTCTAATGCAAATACCCCGACTTTTTTAAAGTAATAGACCCTTACTCTTTTTTAAATACAACAAAGCATTTGATTTTACATTGATTTTCTCTCTTTGGTTACAGTATCATGTCTCTAATCATTAACCTGCTGTTGATAACCCTGGCCTCGAGTGACCTCCTGACCCAAAACGTGAGGCTGGACTGAGGCACGTGTAGACTGGAAGCTAGACATGATGTATTATTACTGACAGCAACCTACACATATTTGATATTGCCTTGAACAATAAGTTGTGTGACTATTTTACCTGAGAACATTACTAAATATCAGTTGGCCCCTAAATGGTCCCCCCTCCCTGTCTCTACTCTGCCACCAGCCTCCGCAGCCGCTGCACCACCTCCTCCCCGCTGGCCCACGGAACCGTGACCGCCTTGAAATCCCCGGGCATGGCCTCATGGGTCTCCGTGATCAGCCGGTGCATGGGGAAATCCCTCCGCGGGAAGGCCACGTCTCGGGGCCCGAGGGCGAGCGCCGGGCAGAAGTCGTTGGCTCCGTCACCCACGTAGAAGATCCTCTGGTACGGGCGGCCCCGCTCCTGCGTCCTGCGGGCCACATAGTCCCTGACCACCACCTGCTTGCACATGTTGTTAGGGCACCGCGCGCAGTCGTGCGAGTGGAAGGGCCGCATCACCAGCCGGCCGTCCTTGTTGAAGGTGGCCGGGTTGCTGAAGACCCGGTGAAAGATTTGGCGGGCCCCTGCGCGACGGAGCCAGGACTCTATGAAGAAGCTGTTGGCGTCAGACAACAGCACCACCTCAAAGTCCTGCGGGGGCCGGGTGCGGAGGAACTGGAGCAGGGTAAGCATGCCGGGGGAGGCTGGGATCTTCTCCATGATGCTGCGGATGTCGCTCTCGGTGACGCCCTGCTCCGCCAGGTAGGCCAGCACGCGCTGCATGTACTCGTTGTATCGGCCGGGTTGGTAGGTGTCCTTTAGCCAGTCCGGCAGGTGCTGCCCCGGGGCGGCCTGCACCACCATGTCATCGCTGGTTTCATCCACGATGGTCTCATCAAAGTCAAAGAAGATGAGGAACCGCTTGTCGGAGGAGATGTTCGCCGAGTTGGAAGCCATGGTGATCTCTGAGCGCCTGGACCTGGATCCAGGGGGGTCCCCCTCGCCTGGAGGATGGGGTGGGACATAACAGCAGGTGAATATTGAGTCCCCCATGATTGACTATGCCACACCTTTAAGGACTACAGTTGAAATCAAATCTCCACTCCTGCTCTCGCACTCTCCAGCATCCCACGCAAGGCAGGCCATGAGATGGAGGCTTTCTGGAAACACCAATGCATAAATAAACGAATAATTTTGGTTGGGGGAGTTTCATATTAATTTAAAACAATGAATTAGCATAATCATCTGAGTAGAAACAATTGTATGACCTAATAGAGCAAAGCAAAGCGAGTTCAAAGTAAAAACAACCAGCTCTTGGGTTTGAAGAAATGGGAAGGACTTTAAACAAAAGGTACGAACAGGAGGGTGGGGGTCATCCTGCTGCAGCAAAAGGTAAACATTCTGGGGAAATGGGCTATGAATGATTAAATTCGAATCTGGGAAAACATGGAAAATATGCAGATCCTGCCAGCCAGCAAGCATATTTACAGGAACAGGCGGTGTGTGTGTGTGTGTGTGTGTGTGTGTGTGTGTGTGTGTGTGTGTGTGTGTGTGTACTCCTACCTTCGACTGTTTGTAAAGTAAGTCCGGGATTTCGGCTGAACTCGTGATGTCTGATTCCGTTGTGTCTGGATGGAGGGGAAACAGTGAATGCTGGTACATGGTGCAACAATATAATTGGTCCCAATGACCATAGACTGTATGATGAGTAGTGAATAATATATAAAGTACTGCTGTGCTTAATGTCTAATTAAGTTGTGTAGCCTGCAATAATGTCCACGAGAGAATAATATGCCTATTTCAACTAGGCCTATAGTTTAACGACACAGGTTTACGGTAGGCTATCTCTTTTAAGTGGGCTATATAATGGATGCAAAACATCTTAAAAGTCAAATTCTTCAACAACGGAGGAAAACGGGTTATTTTTCAATCGACAGCACAATTCATTAATTATTCTCCAACACTAATAATGGGGTAAGTCTGCTTACGTTTATTTCTAATAAAATAACAAGAAGCAACAGCATAATGCCCGGCATGCAACAGATTATTAAATTCTCGCAAAATGCATTACTGTGTCAGGAGCGGTGTTCCGATGATCCCCGGTGTCGGTCCGGTCTGGTCCGATCCACTCTCGGAGTGAGGCAGAGTTCCGCCTGTCGGCCGGTGGTACGTGCGCTTATATGTGACAGACAGGCACACCGCAGCCGCTGTGGACGCGACCGCGCCTACAAGTCCGCCCATTTAATAGCAGCCTACTGAGCGCGTGCGCGATACTTTCAAGAAGAGAGTGGGATAGCTGTGGGAGGAAAGGGAGGAAGGGAAAAAGACAGAGTGCAAATATTCAGTTTACTCAATATATCTGCAGAACTATTAATGATGTGTGTCTCAAGGCAGACTGCTAACTTTCAAATGCAGTTGCCTATTTACAAAAGGGGAGACCGTTGGAAGAATAAACACTCCAGGTCTAAGAAAACACAAAGTAAACTGCATTTTTTTGTATTTTTAGATGTTGTGTTTGGAGCCAGGTGTCATGGAAAACATTGTGCATGGCGGTGAACCTTGGGCAGTGAAAGAAAAATAGTGGAATAATCTCCAGTGTTCAGTTGTCCTGATGCAATATATGTCTAAAGACTTCCTCCTTTAACATGAGGATCAGTATTTAAGTCCGGAAAAATGCCAGGACAAACGCTGATACCTCAGTTGTGAGAAAAAAAGGGAATGAGGACGGAGCAGCGTCACATCTGAGAAATTGATTGGAATAAAATCAATTAGGTATATCCAAAGTAATCCATCATTGCAAATGTGGAACAATATGGTGTCTTCATTTAGAGAAACATTAGCATCACAGCTAGGGTGTTGTTAGACAAATCCTTGCAAATACACAGTGTTAATGAACCGCACAGAAACTTTCAGAGCAGCAAGTAAACGTCTGAAAGACACGGCATGAAGTCCTCCTTTCCTTATCTGCCTGCTGACAGACTCAGCCTCCCTGCTCCTACACCACAAGGCGTAATGACTAACAGCTGGGGTGGCAGACTATTTTCAAACCCAAATGGGAATGGAGATGGACAGACGGTGTGTTATTATCTCCTCTGCTCATGAAGTGAGCCTCGGTACCTGACCACCCACTCACAATCAGTGAGTCACTCACACTTTTCTCTTCCCATCGGCCCGCTCAGCGCTCTTAAGAGGATTATGTGACTCATTGGTAGATAGAGGGCACACTGCATTTGAGGAAGAACAAATGTCTTAATGTGGCCCTCTTTAGAGGTACACTGTTAATGGACTAACAAAGCTGCTTGAGTAGGAACAATGGATTTCTAGGAAAGGAGAGGTAGTCTGTGAGAATATACTTTGAACAATCCTTTCTCTCTTGGGTTTGATATTAAACTGGTGAGAGTAGTTGATGAATCCTTCAAAAGCATCTGCTCATCTAAAAAAGTATGATACAGGTTCAGATTAAAGACGGAAGCTTTAGTTTAATAAACTGCTTCACTTATCAGCAAGGCCACTGCCTGCAAATACAAAACTTTGATGTGAAGACTGAAAGATAGGTTACTTCAAGACAAAGCGAAGGGTCACACCAAGAGGAAAAAAAGGAAGTGGTCACAAAGAAGAGGACATAAAAACTTTTCCAGACAATTAAAAAGCTTTGATAATCAAAGGAATCAGCTGCTGAACATTCAGTGTCATGTGCAGCCAGCAGACATTGTTCTGTTGCAGGCATCACGCCAAGAACCAAGTGACGCTTAAGAACTGAAATAACAGCCAATCAAACATTTGCTGTTGCAACATTAAAGCTTCATAGCAAAGCTACTTAGCCAACTATCAGGAACATGTTTGTGCAGTCCTTATTTGCTACTTTTCACGTTTAATCAATCGTCCTTGTTTAGGTTCACAGTAGAATCACAGCTTTTGAAGAGAAAAGGAGGCACACAGATATGTGATAATCATGGCTACTTGTTTTACTTCTCAAAGTTAGCAGTCAGTTAAATGTACATTATCAAAAAAGGCCCACTTTTTCACTTCTCCATCTCCAGATAACATACAAAAAAAGGACAAACAAGGACATTATAAAGCTGCACATTTGTACCATATACAATAATAAAATACGCAATGCTACATTAAGTGGTTAAAAATACAAAGGGGAAAAGTATATTGATTTTTTTAAAACATCTTTAAAGAATATACAATGTTATTTTTCTTAACTAGCCAAGAATTTTAGTAGAAAGTGCATTCTATATAACAAAGAAAGGAGGAGGAGAATCTTTCAGCAAACTGAAAGACAAAACTGAAAAACAAAAATATATAACAGAAGAATGTATTTCAGACACAGCTAGGAGGGGCTAGTGTAATGTCGCCAAAGCAGGACAAACCGCTTTCAATTTTAGAGGAGGTCCATTTTGGAACAAGAGTGTATTACTGTAAAATAACAGGAAATGAAATGTATGCGCATACTTAAAGACATGTCCTTCATTTGCAATGGTAACTTCTCACTAACCGCCTCCACGCAGGACTTTCCTCCTTTCCTTGCCTAAAAACATCCACTCAAAATGATCACCTCCACCCTTTCTCATGCAGCCACAACTGCACACGGTTCCACAATGCATTGTCAGTCCCTCCCTTCCCTGCGCCTCACCCACGCAGCAGTAAAGTGCAGAGAATATACACAAATTAAAAGGCTTAAAAAAAGAAAAAAAGACAAAGATCCGTACTGCATAAGTGCTCTAGCACAGCAGTGAACCCGAGGGGACATCGTGATAATATGCAAATAATGCAGCCGTATTCAGACCCACAGAAATGGCAGGATAATTGCAGGTCTCAAATCCAAAAATGGGACATTCCAAACTCCGGAGCATCACTGTACCGTTAGAGTGGTACAAAGAGGATTATGTTAAATGTACTGCTATTTTCCATCTCAGGTCCCCCAAATACACATGTATTAGGGCAAACTGTTTAAAAGCAGCATTTGGTAGGAGAGCACTGGGGACAACCAGACAGGTAGAGACTACACACACACAGACACACCTATCTGATAGGCATCAGACTGGTTGAAGAGCTAACAACCACGCTTTTCAAATTCATGCCAAATATTTCCAGCCATTTATGCTTATTTTTTAAACATAACATTCTCACCATCGGCTATCACATGACTTAATGTATGTTGACTTGATCGCATGAATGCTTATCTATACAAGAATTCAATAGAAATGGTATGAGCACTGCTGTTTATCCTGACATTTCCTATCATGTGCTAACAGTATCTACACTGCAGAACAGTTCAATAGCTTACAACTGAGCAAATTAGAAGAGATCATTAGAAAACAAAAAAACTATATATCAATGACTTAGCCATCATTCTGAGTAGGCAACATTCAACAGGTTTAGACACGCGTTTGCCTGTGTGGATCAAAGTATATCAGTAAGAGGAAAATAACTTTAAGAAAAACATTACAACACACCCCACACCAAACCGTGGAATATAGGCTGAGAGGAATATGCATAATTGCCTGTTAAGAACTGTGATGAAAAAAGGTCCCAGGTGTTTATACTGTTTGTGTGTCAAAAGACCTTTCACATGGTAACCCGTATCATTTCGACAGCAGCGGAGGGAAGTGGGGTAAATCCTGATGGGGCCATGTGTCTGGCCCCTCACAGTGGCAGTATTTGACAGTCATCCGTTATCTAAAAGCATCTGTTGACCAACAGAGCTCAAAGCTGAGGTTTCACTGAACACAGCAAGTTTATCAGTGACCAAACTATGGTCTTTGTGTTTTGGGTGTGTGCTTGAGTAAGTGTGAGGGTGCGTGTCCTGCATAAATCGAGTTTCTCAATCACAAAATATCCAGTCAAACCTCAAATCTGTTATATAAAAGCAGGGCTGACACAATACATGGTTATTTTGTAATATGACACACTTCTCAAAATCAAACGGGAAAGCAAAATTAAGAAATATTGTGTATATAGGAATGGAAAGCACCATTTAACCATGATGTGAGTCTCAGTCTTAGTCAACATTTAACAAAAATCAAAACCTCTTTTCCACTGTCCCCTAAAAAAGTCTTCCCCACTTCTAACTGTAACCTATGGCACTGCGTGTTGCACTACTGCTGATGCCCCTCTGACAGAAAGCCTTAGGACAGAGAGACTCAGGTAGAACAACATTCAATTATTTCTGTGGGGTGAGTCTCTCATTTAACTATGAAAACAGGTTTAGTATTGCTATGGGGAGGAAGGGCGCAGACAGTCAATGTGCGACCATAAGTCAACTTGACTAAAAGATAAAAGTTCGATGACACTGATCCTTGTCGATCCATGAAGCACAGCTACTAATACATGCGTTGACCTCTATCAGCAGCTTCTGATAAAAAGGAGATACTTTACACCCATCGTGGTACAGATAGAGAACTCGCACAGAAATCATTCATTTCCTAAAACATGTTCAAGAACAAGGTTCTGTTGTGAAATATTTGTTAGTAGACCGGGTTCTTTAAGTAGATGAGGTACTTAAATCAAACGTGGAGCGAGTGTGTGTGCATGTTTGAATATTGACTTATTTAAACCCGTTTGCGAGGAGCACCCTTTCATCAGGGGGCTAGCAACTGAGAGACTGAGGCAGGACGCAGAGAAGCGGAGGAACAAGGCGTGGTTTGGTGGGGGGCCTGCAGAGCTGAAGCACAGTTCAGTGGTGCTGCGGGGCTCCAGGACCCTTGTCAGGGGGAGCCATGTGGTGCAGGTAGCTGCTGTCTTCATGCCCACAGTGGTTCAAGGGCTCACTCTTGAAAAGGGCTGGGGGTGGGGGCAGGTGGGAGACTGGGGGCACGGCCAAATGGTGGTGGGGGTGAGGCGGGACATGTTGGGGTGTGTTTGAGAGGTGTTGCTGGGTTGTCGGAGGGTGAGGATGTTGGTGAGAGGGGTTTGAGTGGAGCTGTACTTGGGAGAACGTGTGTCCCAAAGGGCCTCGCGGAGGCATGGGTCCTCCTGTCGGGTTGAGGCCCAGGGGTGCTGAGGTGGTGGCCGGGGGGGCAGCCGAGGGACTGGGACCAGAGATGGAGGAAGAGGAAGAGAAGGTGTTGGTGAAGATGCGGACAGGCATGGGTGGGCCGCTGGTCTGCAGGACCACGGGGCTGGTGACCCGGAAACACTTCTC